ATAATCCAACAAACAGTATTATACGATGAGGTCCCACCATGGGTCATCATATTTTCCTGTGATCTGGATCGCATTCCCATTGTTATCGCACTGTACCCTGACTCTCTAAAGTAAAGCTCTGTCCCACCCAGTTCCCAAGTGAAATGCTTATGATCGAGCACGATTATAAGAATTTTATTGTTAATTAAATTAAAAAATTAAAATAAAACAATTTAAAATAAAACAATTTAAAATAACAAACATTTAAGAAGACGATTTTCCATTTGTTTGACCAAATTTATTGGTTTCCCTTTTGCCTAATGTTTTTTCTTCTTCATCTCGGTCAATGGTGTGTGTAAAAGGTACGTATGGTTTTTTTTATCAACCTGTATATCCAACCCGCTATGCGAGTCGACATAATTTAGAACGACCACCTGTATTGCAAATAACTCAAAGTCATCGTTTTTGAACCTTCGTGGCCACAAGAGGTATTTTATTTCTCCTTAGATTTGAACATGGAACCTCCAGGTACTTTTGACCTTTGGAGTCAAGATCAAACCAATCAGACACCACCCTTGTGGTTGTATATATGTTTTGTTTATGTTATAACAGTATGTTTTTATAAGATCTGTAGTGGCTTTGACTAAGGAGTTGTTTGGAAGAAATTGCATGATTTGGTATGGATGTTAAATTATCAGAATAATTAACAATCTCTATATAGTTTAGTGTAAAATAAAAAATATTTATTTGGTAAGTATTCTGAAAGAATAGTTTGAAATATGTAAATTATCATAATATAGAAATTACAAAATAACACCTTTAAAATATGTAAATTATCATAATATAGAAATTACAAAATAACACCTTTACAAAATTACAAAATCCACTTATTCGTTACTCGTTTACTCGACATTTTAGTGGGTAGGATATGAATAAAATGTTTTTTGTTATCTATTTACTCGTTACCCATGTGTATATATAGAGTTGAGTTCACGTGAGACCAAAGGTTTTTCGTTAGACCCGTAACACCAATTTATGTTCATTGATCAACTTTATAAGCTAATAATCTAATGGCCTAAAGTTGCACGGTGATATTATGATTATTGAGAAGTCTCATGGCGTTTACGAATGTTGAGATTCTCAGATTGTAGATCTAATCCAAAGGTTGATAATTGGTCTTACGGGTCTCACAAAAAACCCTTGGTCTCACATGATTCCAAGTATGTATGTATATATATAGAGGAGCGATCAAATGATATTCACCATCATTTGTACAAACCGTACAAACCACCCTCATACGTCGATTTCATTGTTTAATCTTATGAAAATTTTTCATGAAACTGTTTAATCTTGTGAAATTGTTTCATATAATACTTTTTTTTTGATAAATTTGTTTCATATATGGTTATGAAATTGTTTCATATAATATTTAATGAAACTGTTTTATGTATTTCTCTAAGGATAAAATAATGAAGATGATAATATCCATGATTAACACATTCCACTATAAAAATAGTTAATCAACCTCTCATAATTACAAAAAAAAATGAACAAAATAAAAAATTATGATTGGTTGAATGTGGTTTTCACGGTTTGTACAAATTGGGTAGTTTTTATTTGAACGCTCATATATATATATATATATATATATATATATATATATATATATATGGTTAGGTTCAAAGAAAAATCGTAAAAAATAAAAAATTGAGGAACACCCTGGTTATCATTCATCTGGAGGGTATGCACACGCACATACAAGTTATTTGAGTGCGATTTGTCCGATATGCATATGTGCATAACATGTACACATGCATAAAACCAAAAAACAATTTCGGCATGTACATGTACAGATGAATGATTATCAAGGTGTTCGTCAATTTTTGGAGGTTTCCCCTTGAAACTTTCTCTTTCTCTCTCTCTCTCTCAAAATACACACATATATATATATATATATATACATGCATATACAGGGTTGGGTTCACGTGAGACTAAAGATTTTTCGTGGGACCCGTAAGACCAATTTATGTTCATTTATCAACTTTATAACCTAATGATCTAATGGTCTAAAGTTGCAATGTGGCAATTTTGTAATTATTGAGAAGTCTCATGGCGTTTATGAATGTTCAGATCTGACGATTATACATCTAATCCAATGGTTGAGAATTTGTCTTACGGGTCTCACGAAAAACCATTGGTCTCACATGATCCCAAGTCTGCATATACATATACATAGATACATACATACATATAGTTATATAAAGTTAAATATTAAAATATTTTTTAGAATGTTATCTTATATATTTTATAACATATGTTAATTGTTATTTAATTTTCTTTTTATATTCATCAATTAAAAGAGATAATTAAGATAATCAAATGAGAAGCAATATGGGGTTACCGAAAGAAATATAACAAACATAAATGTTGTCTTTAGATATTTATATTATTTTTTAAAATACCATATTATCATATATTTAAAACAATATCACAATATTTACCGAAACAAATTACATATAAAATTTTATCAAATAAAGCTTAGGGGTTGTTTACCAAACACTTACCCGGTAAGTGCTTACTGTGGTAAGAGTCGTCGCTCTCATTTACCAGGTAAGATTCATGGTATTTGTTCCGCTCTTACAAAATAAGATTTTTGGTTCTTACCATATTCATCCAGTGAGGTAACATGACTTGGTAAACACTTACCCGACTAAGTGTTTGATAAACGGCTCCTCACTCTTAAAACAACACTTAAAATTATATAAGCATTTTGTCAAATAAAGCTTACTCTTCAACCCCTATTGTTTGCCAAAATTTAACTATTACCCCTCTTTTTAAGTGTTTCATAAATGACCCATAAATATAAACGTATATGCGAATGCAACCCGTCTTAAAAGATAAAACATTGGCATCTCTTATTTTTCATGTCAGTTAGTTGGCATGACGAGTTATATACTTCCTTGTCTTAATAAGAATTACAAGGTATCTGGTTTCTATAGCTAACAAAATTTGGACAGTATGACGTCAAAACTTAGAAGCATGTCTATCACCCACGAGTTTTATGCTTTGGCATGCACGTCGACAACTAGGTTGAGTCTGAGAAACATAGTTCAAGATAATACCGGTTGATCAGATTAAATGGAGGATTCTGACTCACAAGCAAAGACGGATCCATGATTTCTTGTTAATGGTATCATAAAATAATTATTATAATATAAAATAAAAAATTATTTATAAAACGATTAGCTGGACTCAGTTTTTGGCCATTTTAATTTTAAAGTTTAAAGAGTTACCCGCATATAATAACAAAGTTTGATAAATATAAGCTAAATTATAAGTTATCTTATTTTCGTAGTATACGTTTAGATGAATATAAACCGTCTTATTGAAATGCTAGTTGGAGTAGCGTTTCAAGAACTTTTCACACTTTTTTCAATTATAACCTTGATTACAGTTATTTATAATTTATTATTATTAATTAAAAATTATTTATTACTAAATATTAAATAATTTTAATTATTTATCAATACTAACTATTTACAATTATTTTTATCAAATCAATTACTTTTATATTATTATTATTATTATTATTTTTGTTATTATATATATATATATATATATAATCAATTTAAGATTCTTTTTTATTTAAATTTTCTACATTATCATGTTTATATCAATTAACATATCATATTATTACGGTTTTTTTTAATTATATTATGAAATGTTTTAATTGACTAATTTTTCAATATCAAATTTTGGTCATTTAACATTTTTCGTCTAGGTTGATAATTGGATTTTACTAAGCATAATTTATTAATCAGTTAGTTTATTTGTCATCAGTAAAGACTATGTTTGATAACTAGTTGATAAATTACTTGATGACTGATTATGTAGCTGATAATTTATAATTAATATTTATTAATAATTAATAAATAATAAATAACAATCGATATTAATTATGTTGTAAGTGAAAAAAAGTAACAATAAACATCTAATAAACTATCTCAACTAACATATAAACCAATTTATATCCATCAAAACTTGTATCCCAAAAATAAGTTAACTTATTTTTATAAAATAAATACCGAAAATAAATTTACCAATGTTGTTTGTTTATCTCTTAATAGTTTTTATAAAGAGTTAGTATCTGAATCGTTAAGAGGCGAATATTGTTTGACGAAAAAAAAGTCTGTCTCTTAGTGGTTTTTAAAATCTTATGAATAATTTTGTATCCTACGCCTCCTTTAATCATTCAACGTCCTAATTTCATTATAAACAATTAACAAACAATTATATTTCATTTTGTATTATATCATGAAAGATTTTTAATTATTCCGACCTCCTAGGGGATGTTTATTTGTGACTTAATTAGGCTTATTGGTCTATCTGGCTTATTCGCACAACTCATTTAGGCTGTTAACTTACGGCTTATTCGCATAAAACATGGCTTAATATCACAGATAGAAATGGTGGTTGTCCTCATTCAACTACAAAAATGACACTCATACACTTTATTTAAAGCACCGTCTCCTTCCCATATGAGACACTCCATCGTCGGCCTCTTTATGATTTTTTGTTTTGATGTTCAAATAGTTAGTATTGAGGAATCAATCGGTCATTTATGTTATTTAGACTGTTGGTTTAGATTAAAAAAAGTAAACAACAACACTCATTTATTTAGACAGACAAATTTATCCATACAAAACTTAATAAAAAAATTGGTAAACAATCCGTTAATTATCCAGCTTAAATATAATTATCGTGTAAAAAGAAAATATAATATTCAAAGACACCGTATTGACCCCACCCCCGACTTTCTCTCTCGAAAGCTGGTCTCTCTCTGACACACAACACCATAGTCCCTCCCTTCTTTCAGAAGCTTCACCTCTCACCATTTACTGCACTGCTCCTTCTTTCACCTATTTGATCCATATAAACCCAGGTGTCTCTGTGTGTGTGTGTATGTGTGTGTGCGAGACATTTATCATGGCTGCAATGTAGGTGATGTATGATTCAGTTCAATGGGAAAGTTTCAGCAAAGCAATCTGGGGTCGGTTATTCTTGACCACCATCCTACCACCGCTGCTGGCGGAAATTTCAGGCTATGGTCATCATGCCGTCGCAAAATCATTAACACAATGAGATGTGGAGGAGGAGGAGGCGGTTATCGCCACCGTCACACTGCTAAGTCTCCGGTGGTGGAGAAGCCGAAGGAGGAGGAGGAGAAGAGATCCGAATGCAGATCTGATGTGATTCAGAACCAGAGGAACCGTAAGAGTAAAAAGTCTGAGAAGCTTTCGGAGCTGCTAAGAATGTCAGACTCGTGGTCGTCTGAGGAGGAGGATGTGAAGAAGAAGGTGGAGGTGTTGGAGGAGTTGAAGCGGGTGGTGAAAGGGTTGCAGTGCGGCGGAGACGCGGAGGTTTTGGGTGGCGCAAGGGAAGTGAGAAGGTTAGCCAAGGAAGATTTAGATGCCAGAACAACTTTAGCCTTGCTCGGAGCAATCCCGCCGTTGGTCGCCATGCTTGATTCCGACGATCTCGATTCCCAAATCGCCGCCCTCTACGCCCTTCTCAATCTCGGAATCGGCAATGACCCGTAAGCACCTCCCTCCCTTTTTCCACTTTCAAACTCAATTCGTGAATTTGGCGGTTTTCCTGAAATTAACGAAATCGGGGATTCATGTTATCGTTCTTATTCTAGGGTTTTGATCAAATTTCACTAAATCGACCTAATTATATGGGGTTTTATTGAATGCTAATGAATTTGGAACTCAATGAATGATCTGGACTCAATGTGCTTGTTCTTATTTGGGGATTGATTAATTTTAGCAATCATTGCAACAGTCCCCAAATTGGAGCTTAGATCTGTTTTTTGATTCATGGATTTGATTCAGTTTTGATGGACGTTTTGGTATTCAAATCTCATCATTTCTTCAATGTTAATTTCAGGAACAAAGCTGCCATTGTTAAAGCAGGAGCAGTACACAAGATGCTTGATCTAATTGAACCTCCAAACGACGGTTTGCCTAACCCCGATGTCTATGCTGCAATCGTTGCAAATTTTCTTGGGTTAACCGCACTCGATTCGAACAAAACCATCATCGGATCATCAGGAGCCATCTCGTTCTTGATCAAAATCCTCAAGAACTCCTCTAAAAGTAACATCGATTCACAAGTGGTTCAAGATTGCTTGCGGGCACTCTACAACTTATCGATCTTGCCATCCAACGTTTCCCCAATGATTGAGATCGATGATTTTGTGCCGTTTCTTTTGACCACATTGGGAGATATGGAAGTGAGTGATAGAATCCTCTCCATCTTGAGCAACGTGGTGTCGACCCCTGAGGGTCGGAAGGCGGTGAGCGCTGTTCATGATTCGTTTCAAATCTTGGTAGATATTTTAAGTTGGACAGATTCTCCAAATTGTCAAGAAAAAGCAACTTACATTTTGATGGTGATGGCTCATCGATCATATAGAGATCGACAAGCCATGATCGAGTCCGGGGTTACATCTTCCCTCCTCGAACTAACACTCCTAGGTAGCACCTTAGCGCAAAAGCGAGCTTCTCGGATTTTGGAGATTATAAGGATCGATAAAGGGAAACAAGTCTCTGAAACTTTCGGAGGCGGCAGCATAGGGTCGAACGTTTCGGCGCCCTTATACGGGTCCGTTGATCCCATATTAACGGACCCCTCAGAGGACGATAGAATGATGAGTGACGAAAATAAAGCCGTGAAACACTTGGTTCAACAAAGCTTGCATAGCAACATGAGGCGGATCGTGAAGCGAGCGAATTTGCCGCAAGATTTCGTACCATCGGAGCGTTTCAAATCACTCACATCTATGTCCACTTCTAAGAGTTTGCCATTTTGAGACGAAGATTACCATCTCCACGGAAATAACCGCTCTATCTTTTGGGTACAACTGCTTTCGAGTGGGATATACTGTGTATTTTGGTAAAGTTGAAGATGGTATCATCATAAGTGAGTGTTTTTCTACCTCATTATTAGATTAAACATGTGCTTAATTATGTGGTGTCTTTTGTTGTTGTTGTTGGTCTTAGAATACTACTACATATTTGGTAGAAAAATAGAATCTTTAGTGTACCATTTTTGTCTAGTCACTTTGTACCTATGTTCTCTTAGATTTCAAGATGTTACAGGTGTATTTATACCTGAACCCCTGATGTTTTTCATGGGTTCACGTTTAATTACACCTAAAACATCTTGTAACGAGTTATAGTTTAAAGGATTTTAGTAAGCTACTTTTGCTATAAGCACTCATGGATGGCGAATGTGTGCAACATAAATGCTTATTGGTATGTTTTTTTAGATATCGTTTGAGTGACTGATCGTTGATTATTTATTCATGTTGAAGTCGGTTTAATTAATAATGTTAAGTATCGTGAGAAAGGAAGGTTAAAGGAAAGTGCATATCTGAATCAATTGAAAAATCTATTTGAATATGTATGTTAGCTGATGTTACAAATTATTCATATATATTTACATATGCATCTTCAAATAGATTTTCTAGTGATTCAAATTTGACCATTTCATTAATTTTTTACAATATTTGGTAGAGATGAAAAATTTACCCGTGGGTATCCAACTCTGATGGGGTGGGGATTCCCTGCTTTGGTGGGTAACACGACAGGGATGGGGTTTATTTTCATATCTTAAGGGGGGCGGGCTAGGGTCGGGATGGTACGACCTACCCTTAACTTGACGTAGATTAACTTTTTTATTTGTTAAATATGTGTATATATATATATATATATATATATATATATATATATATATGACATATATTTGATTTACAATATTGGCAATTAATTTAAGAGTAAATTTCCCTTACTTAACAGATGTTTGAGAACCGACGTTAGTCTCTGGGACCAATGTGTTACGAAAATGCAAATTTTATGGGCTATTTTGAAATAAACAAATTCTCGGGACTAAATTCAAAATAAAAATTAGAAACCACAGGGACCAAATCTGTAATTTACTCTCAATTTAATGATGATATATTTTAATCTTTATTCTAAAATACATTACTTCTTTTTACTAAACGGGTGTCAAACAGGTTCTTGATAGGCATGAGAATGATCCCCGACCCATTGGGGAACCGGGTCCACCCTTCCCCGCTAAATTGGGGATGGAGACGGAAATCCCCGTTTGTCTCAAACCGGGGATGGGGACGGGTACAGGTATCGTACTCCCCGTCCCGTACCCGTTATATATTTTAGTTAATAAATTATATATACATATATTTATACACATACACACACACACACACATATATATATATATATATATATATATATATATATATATTTTTGTATATTATTTATTTCAACTAAAGCGCCAATTCATAATTTTCTAACTATATTTATAATATAAGATTGTTAATTTTTTGGATGTTAATATATAATATTTTGGATGTCAAGTCAAAATATAATTACTTGATAAGTTTTGTATATTACTCGATATAGTTATATATTACTCAATATCTTTTAATACATGTGACTTTAAATTTTTTTGAATTGATCTTTTTTGGTTTTAGGTTATTAGTTCTTATATGATGTTGTGATGTATTAAATTAAATTCATTTTGGCTTTAGGTTTATTGAAAATGTTCGCAATTTAAACATGTATGACTTCTCACATATTTAATTTAAAATAACTTTCATAAACGGAAGAAAAATCCCTATTTCCTTGTCACCATATTTAACCTTTTATTTAAACATTATTATTATTATTATTATTATTATTATTATTATTATTATTATTATTATTATTATTATTATTATTATTATTATTATTATTATTTGTATTATTATTTTAATAAAATTTAAACATTATTATTATTATTATTATTATTATTATTATTATTATTATTATTATTATTATTATTATTATTATTATTATTATTATTATTATTTGGGCATATATACACATAAATAGATGCAAAAATGACACAAAACCAGTCGACATTTCGAGGTAAATCCCACTTTGCCATTTTGAATTATTGGCCTCTATCTACTGTTTTATCGTCTTTTCCATTATTTGGATATTTGCCCCCATTTTCATTTACAACTTCCACTCTGAATGGAGTTAACAAATGGGAAAGGTTAAAGTTGATTTTGGTGACTCATCATCAAAAAGTTGTCACAAAAAACTGTTAAAAAACAAAAGAGAACTATTATCATGGGACCTCTTTTATCGTCGTTTTGCTTCTTTCTTTACCATTTTCGAATGTCGACTTGATACATACCAGACGTATGAGAGTGAGGTAGATAGATGAAAAGAGCTGTGTAAAGACATCAGTAGTTTAGTAATTTATCAATATTGTTCAATTTCCTGATTCTTGTTCCATCTGTTTTAGTGAGACGAAACAAAACACATTTTTGTTCTACTCAATCTTAGGGGTTGTTTGTTTACCTCTTAATAGTTCCATTAAGAGACAACATTTGAATCGTTAAGAAATGAATCTTGTTTGGCAAAAAAGAAGAAGTTTGCATCTTAATAGTTCTAAAATCCTCTGAATGATTTTGTATCATGAATCTCCCTTAACCATTAAGAGTCCTGATTTCATTGTACACAATTACCAAACAATTATATTTCATTTTGCACTATATCATGAGAGCCTCTTAATCATTCTGTACCAAACCATTCAGCAATTGTCAAACAGCCTCTTAATGTCACACAAATGTGGGATCACAAATTTTGTAATGTAGTTTTTTTTTTTTTGTCTTGTATACCAAATAGATTGGTCTTGAGTGGCGACTCGGTCAACAAGATTGTGGTTTATATTGTACGTTGGGACGTTCTATTTAATGTTATTTAACATGATATAAGTATTACTTACCTTTCTGCACATTATGTAACGAAGGATACATATATTTATGATATACAGATATGTATCTATTTATATTTATGAGATTGATGATTGATGTATTGTTAGAAAGTGTGGTCCAACCTCTTTGTACTCATTGGAACACCAAAGCATGTGAAAATGTCCATGTCTACTTGTTCTTTTACTTTGCTTTGTAATATCATTGTTTAAGGGCCCGTTTCTCAAACAATAATTTATATGTACCGTGTAATGATTAAAGTTATTGCTCGTTTTTAATTAGTTTTTTGACAGAGGATTCAATCACGTTGGATATGACGTTGTTTGAATAAAAAATGGAATTTCTTAGTTAACTGTATTACGAAAATCTTGCAATTTGAGCTTTCGAAGCACACTTGATGGAAAGAATGTTGACCAATAATATGTTTGATATGATTGTTTATGAAATATATATATATATATATATATTCTTTTACTTAACTATGTATGTGTGTACATATACATATACAGAGGAATGATCGTGTAAAAATAAAAGTTAATGTCAGAAGTGTAAAAAGAGATTTGGACCCTAGATCACTTTTAATCCCAAAATAACTCGTAAATTGTGCTGAGAAAAAAAAATGATCAAGTGTATCTCATTAGTATTGATCTAGCGGTTCTCTTCAATTAAGATTGATCCAAATGGTGGAGTTCATTCTTACCATTCTTACTATAAATTTCATTGTTCTACATTTACACACACACACACATACACACACACATATATATATATATATATAGAGAGAGAGAGAGAGAGAGAGAGAGAGAGAGAGAATCATTTATCAACCAAATAAGTAATATTAACTTTACAAAAGATTGGGAACCGTGAAAATCAATCTAAGTCGTTTATTGATTTTAATTCATGGACATGAAAGACAATGGCAATTTTGAAATAACTTAAAAAGTTTATAGTTTATTATGGAGTAGATTCGAAACTGGAAGGACATATTGGGGTTTTTGTTATAGATTCCATCGTCTCATAACCACCTGTCTACCTCCCTTCGACTTTCTACTCCTGTCTCCACCTACGTCTTCTCTTTGAGTTACAGACTCCATTATCGAAATTTGATAAAAAAAAACATTGAATGATACAACCATGGGTTACTTTAAACATTGACAAAGAATCGGTTGTGATGGGTGGTAGCAACGCGAACGAGGAGGGATGAGTGGATAGATTTGGATCTGAAGTTGATCGAGGAAGAACCGAAAAAACTTAGGGGGAGTTTGGTTCGCAAATTTTGAAGGAATTTGATGGAATTAGAATGTTGAATTCCATTGACGAAATTCTATTCCCTTATTTGGTTTATTCTTTTTAACGAAAGGAATCTTCAAAATCCTACAAATTCCACAAATAATTTTTTTTAACATTCCTTAGCAACTATATGGTATTTTGATGGAATGGATTCTCTATTTTCATAATACCAAATATGTCCTTAACCTAATATACCATAATCTCATAAAACTCAATATGACCATCGCCGACCACCTCCGATCTAAATCACCGCCGACCATCGCCATCTGAAGCGCCATTGACCATCGCCATCTAAACCACCGTCGATCTAAATCACCGTCAACTACCGTCATTTGAACCGCCGCCGACCATCGCCATCTGAACCACTATCGATTACAGCCGATTTGAACCACCGCCGATGTAACAACCCGTCCCACATCGGTTGGTGAGGAGAACTAAACACTCCTTATAAGGGTGTGGATACCTCAGCCTAGTGTGACCGGTTTTGGGGCTTGCGTTGTGCGGCTGCCAGAAACAAAACCGTGCGACTACTGCTTTGTGGTTGAGCGGGCAGGTTAGTCAAAGCGGACAATATCATGCTACGGGGTTCTGGGGGCGTTACAGCCGACCCCTACCGATTTGAACCACCACCAGAAACCGGCAATCTGAGCCGCCGGCCACCGCTGATCTTAACCAACATCAATTTGATTCACCGTCGATTTGAACCACCGTCGATCACCACCATCTGAACCACCATGGACCACCACCGATGTGGACCACCACGGACCACCACTGATTTGAATCGTCGCCAGCCACTACCGATCTGAACCACCGCCAGCCACAGCCGATCTGAAACACCGCCGACCATCATCGATCTGATCCATAGCATATCTGAACCACCGTCGATCAGAACCACATCCGATCACCGCCACCTGAAGCACCACGGACCACCATCGGTCTGTACCATTGCAGACCACTAGCGATTACCACCGATCTGAACCACCGCCGATCATCATCGGTCTGATCCATCGTCTATCTGAACCACCGTCGATCTGAACCACATCCGACCACCGCCACCTGAAGCACCATAGACCACCATCGATCTGTACCATTACAGACCACCAGTGATTACCACTGATCTGAACC